ACGAAAACAGACAGACAGACAGACAGACAGACAGACAGACAGACAGACAGACAGACAGACAGACAGACAGACAGACAGATATCTATAGATAATGCAGTCAAAGCATATCCCAGACAGAGAGATGTATGGACAGAAAGAGTATATAAAAGAAGGGAATTTACGGAGTGACTAACGGAAATGAGAATGGGTCAACGTGAATAAGTTTGGGAACAGCATTAATAATGCTTTTTTTTTTTTTTTACTTCCGTTGCATTTGATTTCGGCACTTCCCCATTCAACCGTACTACATGTAGGCCTATATATTATTTGTTGTTACTATTTTTTTTAATCCACGGGGATTCCTTGTTGGGAAGGCCTAAAATTGACTTGGAATACAAGTGCTCTTGCTGCCTTTTATAACTTAGAAAGACGATGAAGATTTAAAGTTTTAAAAAACTCGACAGAGGCTTGAAATGGATATTGAAAACAGCAATTAATGAGACAAAAAATAGATTCAGTTAAGAAACAGTGGCAATGGCATTCAAATGTTTTAACAATCGTAACAGCAGCTTTGTTTAATATTACTGTTTACCGACGGTGTTTTTACACCCTCATCGACATAAATAAAGATCATTTTGGAGGCAGGCTTCGATCCTGTCTACTTTTGTGTTTTATTTTCAATTGTTTAACGCCTAACCGCTCTACTACGGGTGCCAGCTGCAACAACAGCAACAACATTAAATTTTGTAATTTTTGCTTTAAAACTTGAACAATGAAGTAACTAAGACAACGACCGGTTCTGCAACTAAAGCGCCAGGTACGGAAACATCAATCTCAGCAACTTTCTAAGGAACAACAACAGCAGCATCACAGCAAAGACAGCAATGATGACGACAAAGATAACAAAACTAAGTAACGACCGACAGTTTACTTACGGAACTTTTCTATTACGTCCAGCCATTCTCTCAAAACGCAGAAATCTGGAATGTGGCGATAATACAACTAAAAACTATAACGCCGTTAAACACGAAATGAACTATCGAACTATCTTTTCTTTCTGTTAAAATTTCGCTGACAGCAGAAATACCCGCACTTTCTCTCGATACTGCTAGCTGGAAAATGGGTTCCCTGCCAAAGAAGAAAGAACATCAAATGGCTGATTTCTCTCGTTCACTCTAATGCTGCTAGGGAGCTTTTTCGGCAGTTTGGCCTAATCATCAAGATGCCAGGTAAAGTTGGAGGGGCACCGAGCACAGACGTGGGAAAGGGAGAGGCAGGGCAGTTGAAGGAAATACGTTAGGTGATAATTTTGTGTCACGACGTGGTGCAGTCAGGCACTCGTCAATTTTTGGCCATATGGAGTTATTGTATCTTCTTAAAGCTTCTTCAGTTGTCTTGCTATAGGCGGAGAATACCCGTCTATCTTGAATGGAAGTCGAGGTATTTGAGATGGAAGTTCGTGGGGTCGCCTGGTTTCAAAGGTAGAATTAGCGCAAAAATGGCTGCCAAAGTCTCCTGATTTCCATAGTTTGACAGTCAGAAGAAAATGAAAACTAACATTATTTGTGCATTTGATCAATGTTTTTCAGTAAATCCACCAAGAAATGTGGTCTTAATTGGGCTACAATGGTGTTAAGCCACCCCACCCCCTCCCCTCCAGAAATTCGATGAAAATTGCCAACCTGGTAGAAAAATGCCAGTTTCTTCAAAATATCATTGTTTTGTCGAGCGCCTGATTTTCCCAACGCTGCCTTACACATTTTTTTAAAGCATAGCGCAGCATAGCATAGCCCAGCACAGCGCAGCATAGCATAGCCCAGCACAGCGCAGCATAGCATAGCCCAGCACAGCCCAGGAAAAGCACATCACAGCACAGCATAGCTTACATAGCACAGCACAGCACAGCATAGCCTACATAGCACAGCATAGCTCAGCATAACATAGCATAGCTTAGCATAGCACAGCACAGCACGATATAGCAGAGCTTACATAGCTTACATAGCACAGCACAGCATAGCACAGCACAGCACAGCACAGCACAGCATAGCTTAGCACAGCATTGCACAGCATAGCACAGCATAGCACAGCATAGCATAGCATAGCATAGCATAGCATAGCATAGCATAGCATAGCATAGCATAGCATAGCATACCACAGCACAATATAGCAAAGCTTACATAGCTTACATAGCACAGCACTGCACAGCACAGCACAACACGATATAGCAGAGCTTACATAGCTTACATAGCACAGCACAGCACAGCACAGCACAGCACAGCATAGTGAGTAGCGTACAAAGAAAAGAAGATGGACTCATGAGGACAATAGATAGTTGACAGAGAAGAAAAAACCAACCACACCTGAGCACCCGTCAACCCACCACTCTCTAACATTGTCAGTTAAGTCGAGTGGAGATGAGGGAGGTGCACAAAACTGTGTATCTTTCTTTTAAAACTCTTAGAATGAAGGGAACAGTATTGACGATTTTTGAAATTGTTCAATCTTATCAAAAGACCCTCCGACTCTAGACTATTTTCATGCTCTCCAACATGGCGGTTTTGACTAGATCCATTTCGAACAGAGTCGTAGCTCTGTTTGTCTTCTTCCCACTTCTGTGGAACAGAGTACTTTCAGGTAGTGTTTCCACAGTATATTCCAAGCTGGGTGCGTCAAAATGCCGCGTATGCAGAAGAACTCAAGTGCCGACAGATTCTGATGAACGGGAAGTAAAGTAAGGTGTACCGTGGTGGTCACAGTTTGTAAACTGACATAGGTACGAGGTACGGCGTATCGAGAAGATCATTATTTTGCTTTCTTTGAATGTAAGAGTCGCTTGAGTGCGATACTTTTCTCGGTAAAAACAAATCATAATACATGTATTCCATTAAAATCAAAGTGCTCAGTAAGGTAATAATTCACCCCCCCCCCCCCCTCTTCTATAATACTTTTTCCAGAAAGGGTTGCAGTGGAAAGAAATAACAAAAAATGTGTTCCAACAGTAAACAAACCACAGTGTTTATGTTTCTGTTTATTCATTTCTTTGTTTCATTTGTTTTTATTAAACAGAAGCACACTGAAACATACAACAGTTTTTTAACCGGTAATATAATCGAGCTGAGAATGAGCAAGATTAGTTCCGTAAGAAAGACAGATGCGTGTAATTTTGAGCTTTACATCATATAAATCACAGCTACATGTCATGGTTGATCAAACAACGCTTGTCCATGTACATTTTATTTTTAAATAGGTTGGGGGGGG